TATATATATATATACACACTAACAAACAATTGTACGGACCGCAATAATAATTAACTCCTTTGAGTCCGGCAACTTCTATCGATGTCTTTCTGTTACTCATACAAATGAACAACAAACAAACAACCAAACAAACTCTCTCTATCCCACTTGTGTGTCCTGTACACAGACGACCACTCTCCCAATAGTGTTCCTCATATTGATACAAACAAACAAACAAACAAACAAACTCACTCACCCCCCCCATCCGCGTGTCCCGTACACAGACTACCACACACCTTATAGTTTCTGGCTGCTTCTAATAATATGTTTATCTAACTCATACAAACAAACAAGGAAACAAACAAACAATCAAACTCACTCATCCCCACATGTGTGTCCTGTACACAGACGACCATACACCCATTAGTGTTCCTCATACTGATACAAACAGGCAAACAAACAAACAAACAAACAAACTCACTCACCCCCCACCCTCCTGTTGTGAACACAGACGACCACAGACCCTATAGTGTTCCTCTTACTGATACAAACAAACAAACAAACAAACAAACAAACAAACAAACAAGCAAACAAACAAACGAACGAACCAACTCACTCACCCCCACCCTCCTGTTGTGACCACAGACGACCATGCACCCAATATTGTTCCTCATACTTATACAAACAAACAAACAAACAAACAAACTCACTCATCCCCACCCTCCTGTTGTGAACACAGACGACCACAGACCCTATAGTGATCCTCATACTGATACAAACAAACAAACAAACAAACAAACAAACTCACTCTTCCCCACCCTCCTGTTGTGAACACAGACGACAACAGACCCTATAGTGTCCGGCTGCTTCTACCCGTTTGACGACACCATCCTGCTCACCTACGGCAAGGAGCACGTGCACTTCTGGCGCATGTTCTGGGAAAAGGGAAGGAAGATCATGAGAGACAAACTCAGTGGAAATTTCGAGGTAAGAGAAGAAATTATGAGAAAGAAAGGAAGTGCTAAAAGAAAGTAAAAATGAAGAACGAAAGAAAGGAAAAGTAAAATGAAAGTCAGAAAAAAACTGAAAGAAAGGGAACGTAAAAGGAAAGTCCGAAAGAACAAACGAATAAAAGAAAAGTCGAGAAGAATGAAAAAAAGAAAAAAAGGAAAGGAAAGTCAGAAATGAAGCCCACCTCCAAGATATTCTAAATTGTGTCAATGGGAGAGCAAAAGACACACGTATTTTTTTTAGTGAATACAGTTTGTTTTCAATGTAGAGCAGAGATTTACGAATGTCTTTTTGAAAGTGTGTCATTATTGCTAAACCTCCGTCAATTATTGAGACATGCTGATATTCTGGTTCTTACATATCTTTCATTCCTAATATATATTTATTTATTTGTTTGTATTTGAAGCGTTATTTCGCTGACGTGAAGGTAAGAAAAAAACATCACATCACAAAACAGTGAAAAGGGTTGATATGCTATTTGCTGTTGTGTTTTTAGGCAAAGTTTGGTGCATTGTGTGGCTCTTACAGTTTCAGCTATGCCATAGACTTGTACTTCTAGACTGCCTACTGTCATGGCCGCCGCGCTTCGCTCTCTATTAAAAAAAACATTGCTGCAAACTGTGAGCACCGTGGGCCGCGTTTTCACTAAAATGAATAAATGAATAAATAAATGAATGAATTAATTAATTAATTAATTAATTAATTAATTAATTAATAAATGAAGTGGAAAACACTAGTTTCTCTAGTGCGACATTTTCCCGTCCTGCCCTTTACATGGCCCCAGTGATGTGTCCCATAGCCCACCGGAAATACGTTAGAGAACCCGGTGTAGGTCATTATTATTATCATTATACAAGTCTATTAGCCGTGCCTAGCCACGTCGTTTTCTCACGTCAATCAGAGAGGGAAAGAGGAAGAAGATGACAAAGCAGTTAAGGGTAATTATTTCTGAGGATATAAATATAAAGAGAGAAAGGGGACTAGCGACAGTGATATAGCAGTTAGGCACTTTGTGGTGGCACGCAGAAGACGTAAGTTCGATTCCCGAGTGGAGAGGCTTTTGATCAATGCATGTCTGTCTGTCTTCTGAGACGGTGTATCCTTCTCAGACCGGGTTGACCTGACCGGAGAGGGATGGAATTGCCCGCCTACTAAATTATCACAGTTGTGTCGATGGGATGTGATGCATCTGAAATTCTTTTTACTTTCCAAACATGGGGTTGGGGGGGGGGTCGAAATGGAGAAGGAAGGTGAAAAAACAACAAAAAAAGACTGAAGAAAACTATAGAAAGATGCACATGGGAAGGAAAGAAAAAAAATGAAGAAGGACATGCTTTTCTATATTATTTACTGCTCTGTGTGCGTGTGTGAGTGTGTTATGGTACACTTCACACAGCATCTATATCGTTTGTCACGTTTGATCCTCCCCCCCCCTCCCTTTCCCCTTCCCTCTCTATAAAATCAACAACAAAAATACTCCTACGAAATGACTTTTCTCCACTTACACTACCCAAGAATGCTACAAACTCTCAAGTCACTCCTGTCACCTTCTAAATTTTACAGCCTTTTGCAGTGTTGCAACACTCTCTTAGCAATTAGTAGGTTGGTTTCCAAAGAGTATTGTGGAAATTGCGTGAATACCGCATCGATACAAAGATTATAATGGATAAAGCATGTAAATTTGCATAGATACAGAGATTATAATTGATATAGTATGTATAAATGCATAGATACAGAGGTCATAATGGATATAGTATGTATTAACATATGGATACAGATATTATTATTTATGGAGATTGTATGTACAACTGCTTCTATACAAAGATTAATTAAGCATCGACGTCAGGAGATCAAATTCTTTGTTAAGGGGAAGATTTTGTATGACAAAGCTATAAGATATTTCAAGAACAGATGAAAGA